GCTAGAACGCGATCTTTATTACACCATCGCGGAATCACGGAATAACAACTTTATTTTGATTTGCTGCTGTTGCGCTGAGACGGCGTAACTTCACGATTGAGATTTAAAGCTCATTGCCACCAAAATGCTCATTACTATGCAATTTTTCCCTGAGCCTGATAGTTACCTCACTGAGTCAAGTGATGATAATTATTTTAATTAATACTGTTTGTTTTATTATGTTCTAATCTACGATCATAAATCTATTCACAAATTTAGGGGGGTTCGATCGAACCCCCCGAACAACCAACCCCCACCCCCACCCCAAACTACGGGCCTGCACCTATTCCCCACTAAATCTTTGATACACAGAGTATAGGCATATACATTCCAATCCGAACTCATTTAGTACTCATCTATTCCCCACTAAATCTTTGACACACAGACTATAGGCATATACATTCCAATCCGAACTCATTTAGTACTCACCTATTCCCCACTAAATCTTTGATACACACACAGAGTATAGGCATATACATTCCATTCCGAACTCATTTAGTACTCACCTATTCCCCACTAAATCTTTGATAAGTAATGCCACATGGTTTTTAGATAGATGTAAATTACCAAGATTGAACGGCACGTCCGCCAAGGTCTTCAACTCTATCTTATGATCATCTTTGGCTGGTCCAGCGACATTTCCAGCAGATAGTTTAAAAGCGAATGCTCTCTTTAGTTTGTCATTTTTTTCACTATCTTTTCTTTGGTTTCGATAGAGAACGTCAATTTGTATATCTTTGTCATTTGGCGGGTCCAATATCAACCATGCATAATTCTCCTTATAATAGTCGCAGTGAAAAGCATAACAATTACTCTTAGGACTTGGTACCAAATCTGGTACTTTTATTTGAGATCCTTTGATTCCTTGAAACGTGCTGGGTCCGGTCATCGTGCTGCCTGTAATGTCTGAATGTGTACAAAATATATATTGAATACTTTTGATGACATTACAAAAAAACAGCAACAAAACTGTACAAGTCAACAGAATCTTTCCAATGTTGCAAGAAAAATTAATATATATATGTGGTTATATATTTGCTTTAAACAATGTTTATAATAAAAACACTAACTAATTTTTGTTGTATTCATAATGCATCAAAGAAGAAATGTTATTCATAATGACACTATAATATATGACGTATTTATGTCATTGACACAAATATGTGTCCTATCAAAAGCACATATGCCATAACTTCGCATATAGATACTTATATTTTGCGTTAGACGCTTACCTGATACAAACGAACCCGAATTG